GTGTTAAAAGCTTGGTACTGTGGTACTGTTGGGAGGTGGAGGGACCCTCATTGCAAGTCTTTCTTTCACGTGGGGTGTTGAGATCCCAGCCTCATCTCTTCCTCTCTTTTGCATCTGGCCATGAGGTAAACAGGGCTCTCCACCATGCACTCCCACCATGATGCGCAGGGACACCGTCGCCCCAGAGCAGTGGATCCAAAGTCTCCAAAACTATGAACCAAAATGAATCTTTTCCCTTTTATAAATTGATCCTTTGTTGGTGGTGGTGGTGACAGGGTCTTACAAATTTAGTTGAGGCTGGCCTTGAGTTTGCAATGATCTTCCTGCCTCAACTGCCATAAGGCAGAAGATTAGGGCATGACAAAAGAGGCGGAACAATGGAAAGCTGGCAAATTATGTCCAGGAGACATGCAGAGGGTTGCTCCCTTTGGCCCAGAACTGAAACCGAAAGAGGATACTGAAGGATATAAAAAAGAAGGTTGTACAAGCATTTCAGCCCTCCAATAGGCTTCCCCCAGCTGGGTTCTGAGGGGCTGCAGATACACACACACCCTGCCCTCAGTTGGCTTCTTATTCTTGTGATGACCCATTCCCGTTTCTCTTTACTTCTACTGTTTAGTTTCTCCATCTCATTCTTTTTCTTTTCTTCCTTCTCTTCCTCTTCTTTTTATTTTTCTGAGACAGATCTCACTATGTAGGTCAGGCTGGTCTTGAACTCACTATGTAGCCCAGGCTGGCCTCAAACTTGCAGTGATTACAGCTGTGCCCTACCACACCTGGCTTCTCACCCACTTTCTTATCATGCTCCAGCCACATGACCTTGTATCTGTTCCTCTCTCTCTAAGCTTCTTGCACTGGCTATTTCTGCTGCATGAAACAGTCTTTACTGTCTTCAGGGACTGATTGTCTCCATCATCCAGGTTTCAAACTAAATATCGCCAAGTGACTCGGGCTGTCCCGACTGCTGAGCTCCTGCTGGAGAGTTAGTTCCCAGGGGACAGCGCCCATCCTGTTTACCTCAGGTAACTTGAGAGCTGGGCCCAGGAGGGCTCCAGGTCAACAGGACCAGCCCTGCTGGCTTAGCATGAGCTCGGCAGTGTGTAGCTGGGCCAAGGGAAGGACCAAGAGTGTTCCAGGGAGAGAGGACACAGGACAGCAGGCCCAGAGCCAGCAAGCTGCAGCTGAAGGAGGTGCTACAAATGAGTATCTCTGGATCACGCAAGGCTGAGAGGGAGGAGAGAAACAAGGCCAAGCCACAGAGGGTTTCATAAGCCTCAGCAAGGCCGTGGATGCGATCCTAAGGGTATTGAGAAATCATTTCAGAGTCCTCAGACAGCAGGGAAATAGATCTTCATCCAAACAGCTGCAGGGTGCATCTTAGGATGCGGAGCTCTATCCTGAACCCAAACCCCACCTTCTCTCCCAGATGATCCCACTTTGTACTTCTAGCTCCTACTCTTAATGGAATTCTCAAGTTGGTACGGGATGCAAGGGCTTTAGCAGAAATCTCGTCCTTGACCCCTGCAGTAGGTTGTCTGTTGTCCCCTCAACATCTAGCCATGTCCAAATCCTCTGAATGTTATATTACGTGGGAAAGGGTCTTTGCAGATCTGATTAAGAAGTTTGAGATGAGATTACTCTGGATGGACCTAAATTCAAGGATAAGTCCTATGGTTAGGCTTTTTATCAGTTTTAAAATCTTTTTTGAGACAGGATTTCACTGTGTACCTCAGACTGGTCTCAAACTCCCAGCAATTCTCCTGCCTTAGCCTCCCAAGTGCTAGGATCACAAACATGTGCCACTGTATCTGGTAATGTTGGCTTTTGAATGCTCCCCCAAAGCCCTGTGTATTGAAGTTTTTGTCCCAAGCCCATGGTACTACCTGGAGGTGGCAGAATTGTTAGGAGGCGGGACCTGGAAGGAAATGGGCCGCTCAATGGTATCTTGAGACCTGGTTCCTCCTTTTTCTGTTCTCTCCTTGCTCCCTGACTAGCATGAAGTGAGCAGTTTTCTTTGCCATGAGTGACCCCTGGGAGGTGCTGCCTAACTTGTCATAAGACAGAATGAGGACAAGAGGCCAGGGGCTGAAACCCACTGACTTTTCCCAAAATGAACCCAAATAAACTTTTCTTCCTTTTAAGTTCATTATCTCAGGTATTTCGTTATAGTAACAGAAAGCTAACAGTAACTGTCTTTATAAGAGACAGAAGAGAAGACACAGGAAAGGCGTAGGCTGTGTGACCACAGAAGTAGAAACTGGAGCAGTACTGCCACAGGCCTGGAAGCCAACAGTCCCCAGCAATGATAAGAAGTTAAAAAAGCAAAGAACAATTCTCCCCAAGAGCCTCTGGCGAGAATGTGGCCCTGCTAACCCCAAATTTCAGATATCTGGTTCTCAGAAGTGCAAGCTAATACACTTCTATTGTTTTAAGCCACTTGCTTTATGGTGGTTTGTTACCACAGTCCTGGGAAACTAACACAACCCTGTTCTCTAAGAAGCTTCCGCCTCACTTGGGAGCTTCACCCTCTACTGGAGCTTTCTTACCTGTATAGGTTGATTGTAAAAGGGGCTAAGAGCCAGACAAGGCCACCAGTGGATCTTTCCTCTCTGTAGTGTTTGGTTCTAAAAGGACACCTTTGCTCAAACCAAGAGCATATATCACCAGAATAAGCCATGGTGCGGTCTCTGGCTGAGGCCTGGAGGCTCGGAGGGCACGCTGGCAAGGCGCTGCCAGAACAGCGAACAGCTCTGCGGTGATGGATGCAGGAATGTTTGTTGTTTAAACAGGACCCCTAGCTTCAGGTTCCCCAGAGAACTTGTGTTCTGGAATGTTCTACCTGGCTTTTACAGTAGCCTCACTGATACCTGGCTAGGTACTTCCTTGGGCATAGAAAGTGGCTGCATTTCTGGACAGTGAAAATCCAGCCCACCTCTGGCAGCATCAGGAGTCAGCCCTCAGGGGCCTCAGGCCTGTGCTGTCGCCTCCCTGGCACTCCTCACCTCTCCCTGCAGCTGAGTCAGGCTCCTCTGTTGGAGGTTCTCTTCAGGAGGACCAGTGGCCAGGCAGTTATGTCACTCAGTGGGTTTCCCGCAGTGTCTCTCTCCCTGATTAACTGTCAGTGCTGCAGTAACTAGCCAGGTTCTGGCTCTTGGGAGGGGTCCAAGAAGCAGCCGATGAGTTAAACAGTTCTCAGGCCTGTCAGTTATCAGAATGTTCCTGGAAGAAGCTTCTCATCCTGCAGCTAGGTGGTTTCATTTGGATATTTTGAACCTTTTGAAAGCACCCATAGCCAGAGGCCCACACTTCTTTCTCCCAGGAGTAAATAGGATCAAAGAGAAAAGGCCCCGGGCAAAAATAAGGCTGTATGTGGAGAGAGGATATCAAGGCTAAACCCAGAATTGCCAAAGGCCAAAAATGTCACAACCTTCCTCCAGAAGGAGGAGCCTGTGCCAACTGTCTTAACCTTCCCTAAAAGGGCGTCCCATACCACCTTCCCTCTAATGCCTCTTCCCCACCCTCCCATGCCCACTGTTCTAACTTTGCAAGTAATATTCAGCTGAGCCAGACTCTAAAGGCATCCAGAATCTTTTCAAGTAAAATAGGGCAGTAATCAGGCGTGGTGGCAAATGGCTATAATTCTAGCTACTCAGGAGGCAGGAGGATCAGGAATTCCAAGCCTGCCTGAGTTACACAGGGAGACTGTCTAAAAAATGGGTGGTGGGGAAAAAGGGGCACCCAATTCAAAAATTCTCTCTGAAAGCTCTTTTGTTCATATTGAAACAAGAGTTTGTTTCCCTTTGCATCTAGAATAGGAGCCAGCTCTCTCATACCTGCCCACTAGACAAAGGCAGGCCACCCACTGCTTGGTTGTCCAGGGTGCTGTGTGGACATGCACCCTTCTGATACAGTCACTGGGGAAGGAAGTCAAACTCATGGTCATCTCTTCGCTGTGCTTAAGCCCTGGGCTTTTGCAAAGGCTGTGTGCATTCAGAAGCTACAGGTCCTGTATTACCTCTCCTGGGAGTTTCTGTCGATGTTGTATCCTTAGAAGGTCCATTTAGGCTGGATGCGAATGAGGAAGGAAACAAGTGAGAAAAGTACTCCTTGAGCTAGCTAGTTAACAAGTCTTGGGTGCCCTCAGTTGGGGCTCTGCTTTTGTTTCTTTTCTGAAGCTCATAAAGCACACTGTATTTTATTATGTTGGCTTTCTTTCTATACAATCATGCTCTAACAGGACCACCTTATAGACTTGTTCATACTAACATATAAATGACTGCTGTGGCTTTATTTTAGCTCATTTTCAAAAGTGGGACAGCTTTAAAAAAAATGAATACCTTCAAGGAGTTGTGGGGAGAAGATTGCAGAGGGCCTTGCCAGTGATTTAGAAAGCCACTGCCGCGTGCTGCAGCTTAGCTGTGGCACAAAGGTTCAGGGTGAATTGAACACACTGAGCAATCTCTAAACCCTCCATCCTCTCTCTTTAAGTAGGAAAGTAGGCAAAGCCACAGTGGGAAGCGGGGGGGGGGGGGCAGGAGAGCTAGAGCAGAGGTACCTAAACCAAGGAAGGCTCGACACCCACCGACGACACTCGAGAGAGAGCAGGGGTTTGGGGAGTGCAGAGCTGTTTCTACACGGCAGCACCTGCAATGTTACACAAAGCGGACCTGGCCTTTAGGACCTCCTTCAGACTTTCCCACCCTGTGGGATATTCCAAGTCATGACCAATGTGTTCAAGGGGGGCTCCATCTCTCGGGCAGGTGGATCCAACCTGCACGCTGTCAGGGGTTCTTCATTCACCTTGTGGATAGGGGCAGAGGCCTGGACCAGATTCTGCTACTTGAGAGTCGGGGCATAGCAGGGTAGAGTGAAAAGGACCAGCAGGAGCATCCGATGATGCCCTCCCCTCCCAGCAGCTCTCCAGGTTCAGGTTGGTGTAATGCCAGGGTGGAATGGACTCAGCCTTTGTGAGCCTCCGGGAAAGGGGTCAGAGCCAGTCCTGGAACACAAACACCAGTATATTTTATGTGCACACATATGAAAAGGAAGAGACAGAGACCAATGGAGACACAGCAGGCAATGCACACACAAACAGTTATGTCTTTTAAGAGCCGCCAGGTTGGAAGACAGTCCCACTCATTTCAAAGCTGGGCTCGCAGCTCCTCCAGGTCCGGGCAGCCTCAGGGTGGACGGCTCTCTCCCTGCCTTAGTCACAGCTCAAGGGCTGACGTCTCATTTACCTGTCTGCCCTGGCGAGTGTCTGCACAGCCCAGAGTTTCATAAATGCAGGTCCTCACATGAGTTGTCCCACTCAGCAGTGGCCTCCCCAAGAGACCACGCAGAGTAGGGACCAGGACACAAGGACTTCGTGGGCACACCCCAGGTATTATTGCTAAGAAAAAGCAAGGGCCATCGTGACTCACTGGCATTGAGAAGGGGACAGGGCACAGGAAGCCTAGTAGACGTCCAAAGCAGCTGAACCATGCAGGGCAACGCACTTGCACTCTGCAGCTCAGAGAGCTGCCATGGCCAGCACAGTGGTGCAGGGTGCCAGGGGCTCAGCAGCAGCCAGCATACTCCCTGCCAGCAGCCCCAAGGCTTGGCAGGGCTGGGGTTACTCCAGACCTCAGTCCTGGGCACTAAGGAATCAGGGATCTAAAGATACCACAAAAAACAAGAGTTTGAAGTCAGGGCTGCTTCTTGTAAGATCTCAACCTGTAGATCCTGTGGTCAGGTCATGGGCTGTAGCCTCCCAAAACTGGGGGCTCTGTGCCCTATGAAGGGTCATAGGGCCCACAGGGCACCTAGATGAAGCAAGACCACAATGCAGAAAGTTGCCAGACATGCACATTCACGCCAGGAACTCTTGCACTTGGGCCCAGTAAAGAAACGATGCCTGGGAATGCCCACAAAGGCAACACCGGGAGTGGCGAGTGGCGGAACCAGGAAAGCCATCGAAGGCCACGCCGTGCCTGAGTTAAGGAGGTCTTATTCTGGCCGACCTCAGCAAGCTGGCGACTGGGTTCCACTGCAGAAGGGGTATGGGAAGGTGGTGACCTGGAGGGTTGTCAGGGCAACATGGAGCTGGGGGAAGGTACCAAGGAACTGATTGCCCAGTAGGAAGTGGGAATTCTCCTACCTAGAGACAGAAAGCAACCCACCCCCTGATGCTCTGTGTCCTTCAATCCCTATGACTGAGGCTTTAACAAAACCTAAGGTGGGTAGGGTGAGCCACCACAGACGAGAGCCTGCCATTGGAAAAGCCTGCTTGGTGGCTGGGGAAACCACGCCTCCCTCCCTGACAAGGTGAATGGCAGGAAAACGCCACCAGAGGCTGGATGTCTAAGCCTTTCTCTTGTCTCAAGTCACACCTGTTACCTACCCTAGCTGGTGCTGCCCATCCTTGTTGGCATAGCAGCCAACAAGGAAGAGGAGATCGTGTCACAGGTGGTACTGTCACTTTTAAATAAGAAAGGCTAATTTCTACCCCAGTCCTAGTGTGGTCAGGTTGAGACCATGTCCCACGGGGTGGTCCACTTTTTGATGGGTCCCTCCCTGTGGAGGGTTGGGGAGAGACCAGAAGGGGCTGGAGTGAGGATGTCACCTGTCCACTGCCAGCAATGGATCTGTCATGGGGAAAAGGGAGATCACTAAGGTGATGACCATGAGTGTGGCGGGGGTAACACTATTTGAGGAGCAAGCTCAAAGGGGCAGCCTTGCCAGGAGGGGAGGAGAAGGGGCAATCCTGAGGTTTAGCTGCAGAGCTGGGGCCATGGTAGAACTGGAACAGATCCCTTGTTCCCATGATGGCTTTCCAAAGAACCATCTGTGGTCCTCTTTTCCTTTCATCCCCCATGGATCTCCAACACTGGATACCTGCTCCTCCATTCCCTAGAAAGCTACTTTGTTCCCCCTGGCTTGAAAATAAACCAGTACAAGCCAATAGGACCTAGAGCTCTGCCTCTTCCCCTCTTGTACTGATTTGCCCCTTGGGCCAACTGTGCTCTGGGGTTACTATTTGCTTTGAGCAGGGTCCTTGCAGGGAGGTGACACTGCCAAGCTGCCCACCAGACCAGAGCTGGGGAGGCAGAACTCAGGACCTCCTGGTCATCGGGCCAAGGGGAGGAGTGGAGGCGGTGAGAAGACAGGCAGGGTCTCTCAGGGTTTGACCCCTGGCTGCTGCCGTGTTGGCTAGGGAGCTGGGGATGGAGGCAGGTGTGGTGACCGACACGGATAAAAGGGCTACTAGTGGTAAAGGCCTTGAAAACAAGAGAAAGGGGGAAACACCACCGAACACGCAGGGACTGAAACCTCCAAAAGCCCAAGGTTGGTGGGAATTCCAGCACCACGGGGGCCCCCAGAAGGCCCAGGGAGCAGCGTGGGGCCCTGGGGAGGGGAGAGGAGCCAGGGGAAGGTTCCCAGCGCCTGCAGACCAGCCCTGCTGCCAAGCAGCTCGGTGGCTGCAGCGTCTCTCTCAGGCTGCCGCTCAGCAGGCCCTCGGGGAGGTATTGGTTGCAAGCAAGCACCTGAATATTGCCTAATGGAACCAGCCAAAGCCCAGCTAAGTCTGAGTGAGAGGGAGCGAGGGGGCTGCAGTGGCAGCCCAAAGCCTCGGCAGACCTTGCCTCTCACCTTCGGCCCCATGTACAATGTTCCCTAGTCAGAACAGGCCCTGTTGCTTTCTAAGTCATCATGCAGACCAGTCATTACCCAGCCACACGGCTCCAGCCACCAGCCCCTGGGCTGGTGGAGACCCAGGGACCTTTCCCAGTGTCCTTCTGTTGCCTCGACTCTTGGGCCCCCAACACCATTCCCCATGAGGATATGGGGCTGCGTGTGCCCTGCTGGGACAGGGCTTGTGCTAAATAGAAGAGGCAAGCTGCCGGCTTGATCTCTTTGTCCATGGGTTCCATGAGAGACCCTCGAGCCCTCCCCACACATCCCCTACTCAGTCGGTCTTGACATGTCCATTGGCCAGGGCCACAGGGCCACCAGGCTCGGCATCCTTGTCAAAGCGGAGGCGAAGGGTGTTGCGGATGATGAACTGCTCCACGATGAGGGCCCCGCAGAACCAGGGCACGGCGTACTCCAGGGTGATGAGGCCCATGAAGTCGAAGTCGAACTGGGAGTAATCCCAGGGGCAGGCGTTGAACTGGCGCAGGATGAAGCCGGTGGTGAACTCCCACAGGTAGGTCCAGAGCGTGTAGATGAGGCAGCGCAGCAGCAGCGGGCAGCGGCCCCGCAGGCGCAGGTACATGCGCTCCACGATGAGGATGGAGGTGCCGTAGATGAAGAGGGCCCACACGCTCGTGACGCCCGGGAACTTCCAGTTAAAGTTCACCACGAACTCCCAGGCCGCCGTGAACATCACCTCGCAGAAGTAGCCGTGGATGGCGTACAGGTACCAGCGGGACAGCGCGGTCAGGGGCTCGGCGGAAGCCATGGTGTTGGCTGGGGCCTGCTGCTGGGGACACAAAGGATGAGCAGGTGAGAGAGGAGGGAGCCCTGTGTGGTCTTCAGTCACCCCACTCCTAAACGACCAGCCGATTCCTTGCCAGGCCCATTCTGGGAACCGATTTCTCACCCATTTCTTCTCAAACAGTTCTGTCTCTCACTATTTCTTCGATCTAAGCAATCCAGCATCTCTGCCTCTGTGTATGGTGATAGATACATATCAAGTACCACTTTAGCCATTTTAAGTGTACATTTACCTGACACTAGAACACTCATGTGACCACCTCCTCCCTCCAGAACCTCCTCATCATCCCAAACAGAAACAGAAGGTAACATCTCATTCCTCCTTCCCCAGTTCTATCTCCATATCCTTGACTACTCTGGGCACCCCAAGTAAGTAGAATTTCAGCTTTGTTCTTTTGGGTCTCACTTAATGCTCTCAGGGTTCGCCCATGCTGGAGCGTGGACCTGAATGTCCTTCTTTTCTGTGGATGAGTAAATCCCACAGCATGTACAGAACTCATTTGCTCAGACACCCCTGGATTGCTTCCACCCTTCCACTCTTGTGAATGAACAACGCTTCTGTGAACACGGGTGTACAGCATCTCTTTGAGATCCTGGTTCTTTCTATACACAGAAACGGGATCCCGTCTATGGAATTTCTAGGGCTAACTTTTTGAAGAACTACCATACCGTCCCCATTTTACATTCCCAGCCGCAATGCACAGGGTTCCAGTTGCTCCACATCTTTGCCAAACATTCATGCTTTCTATTTTCTCCCTAGTGGTCATCCTGATGAAATATCTAACGCGGCATGTCACTGTGGTCACCCTGGTCTTTCACAGCCACGTTAAATGCAGTTTGGGTGTTTAGTTTCTTGTTGGAGGGAGCCAGTGGGCCCAGGGAGCAGAGCACCCCTTCCCCTTCTCTCTTTCACACTCCCTTCCCCTTCTTGCCCTCCAGAGAGGGTCTGGACCACTCACCTTACCCACTGCAGATGCCACCCTATTCACCTTTAGAGGTATATGCCCTCGGGACATGACCAGCCTTGGAACTCCCTGAGGGCAGAGGCTGGCCTGGTATAGCCTTCGCTCAATGACCCTTTCTACAAAGCATGGTAAGGGAACAGTTTGAGTGACATGAAGACGGGGAAGCTCTGCCAGCTGCAGAGGATGCCTGGATATTTTTTTTGTGTGTATGTGTACCAGAGATCAAACACAGAACTTTGTGCTTGCCAGGCAGGCACTGTGCTGCTGAGCTATATCCCTGGTCCCCTGGACACCTGGTTTGACATTTGTTAATTACCTCTTCAAGGTGGGACAGGGAACAGAGGTTAATGAGATGAAAGAGTCAGTTCACCTTCAATCTGGTGTCATCTTTCAGTCAACACCAGCCAGAAGGCAATAATACCAGCTCACTGCCCACCCTGGGCATGGCTCTGTCTTCCCAGCAGTTCAGTCTCACTGGATAGGATTCATTTGAAGGGCAAGCAATTTTACTCTCCATTCTTTTTTTTTTTTTTTTTTTGGTTTGGTTTTGGGTACAGGACTTGAATTCAGGACCTCATGTTTGCTAGGTAGGCACTGTGGCAATGAGCTAAATCCACCCCCCACTTTTTTGAGTCCTGGGGATTGACTCCAGGACCTTTGCAACGAGTTACATCCCTAGCCTTTTTTAAATATGGAAATAGGGTCTTGCTAAATTGCAAGGTTGCCCAGGTTGGGTTCAAACTTGCCATCCTCTTGCCTCAGTCTCCCAGAGAACTGGTATTACAGGTGTGAACCACCGTGCCCAGCTTTGCTCCCACATTATCGGTGAGACAAATGGGGCTCAATATCCCAGGGCCAGTATATGGAAGACCTCAGACAGAAACCAATTTCTTTTTGATTTCTACTTCCAAATTTATCCCACTCTTGCCCATCTCCTAGACATGTGTCCCTCCAGTCACAGTCCCACTCAGACACATTCAATGGCTCCCCTGTTCCTAATGACATACCACTCCATCTTTGGAATTCAAGACTCTTTCTGATCTCTCCCCAGTCTACTTTTTCAGCAACATTCTCACCATTCAGCTCCTTGTCTCACCTCCATACTTTGCAGGTCCTATTTGCCCTCTTTGGTGATGCTTCTACAAGCACAAATCCAGCGCACGGTGATCTTCAGAAGGAAATCTCTCCCCAGCCACTAATTCTCTCTTCTGAACGTCCACAGATCTATTTTGTTATACGATGTTGATAATTTTCAGTACAGAGCCAGATCTCTCCTCTGTTCCACACCTATATATATTGCTCTTTCCTGGACACCTCCCCTTAATGTCCTACAGGTATCTCAAGCTTCTTTCCCAAACCAAACTCATTATCTTTCACCCGGACCTGTTTGTCTCCTCTGACTCCACCCTGACTAATGGTACTACCGTGCACCCAGTCACAAGCAGAGCCCTGGGCCAATACCCTCTTGAAACTGAGTCCGAGAGTAAGGACCCGTCTGTCTGGTTCTGCACAGTATCCCCAGGGCCTGGCCAGTGCCCAGCACATAGTTAACATTCAATACAAGAACCAGGGTATTTCTCAATCACTTCCTAATTGCCCCCTAACAAACACCCCCTATATGTCCTGTCATCTACTATGGCGGCTCCCATGCCTGTGGGTTGGCAAATACTGGCTGCCCTTGAGCTTGAGGCTGAGTCACGAGGGTTCTGTTCTGTGCCAGGCTGGGGCAGCTCTATTCCACCAGTTTCTCATCCTCCACCCTGGCCAGCAGACTGGTGCTGGACACAGTCTTCTCATGGTAAGGGCGATGGCATGAGAGCAGGAAAGCCCCACTCTCCAGGTGCTTTCCAAGTCTGGTCAAGCAGGGAAGGAGAGAAGGTGCTGAGTGGGTACGGGGATACAGCTGGGTAGGAGGAATAACGAATAACTCCTAATATTCCATTGCATATGAGGCTAACTACGTTTAACCACAGCTAGCTGTACATTTCAAAATAGTAGACAGGCTCTTAAATGAGATCCCCAAAATGATAAATATTTAAGGAAATGGATATACCGATTATTCCAATCTGATCATCACATGTATTGAGATGTGACATTGTACCCCATACATGTATACAATTACTACAAATCAGTTATATCTCAATAACACATTCAGGAAGCTGAGGCAGGGAAATGGCTGTAGTTAAGACATGCTAACAGCTGAGGGGCCAAGCCAAATCACACAGCAAAGCACACATTCCTGCCCTTCCTACCTCTTCGACACTCGTCTCCTCTTCAATTCTTTCTTCTCAGGGATGCTGCTTTGGTGCAAGCCCTCATTATGTCTCACCCGGATAACATCTAGCCTTACCTTGCTCCCTTCCAGTTCAAATCACATGACTCAAGTTATATACAAAGAACAACCTTTCAGCTGACTATCGGAGTGGACATCTATAATCTCAGCAATCAGGAAGCTGAGGCAGGAGGATTGGGAGTTTAAAGCCAGCATGGGCTACATGGCCTTTAAAGCCAACTTGAACTACATAAGCAGACCCCGCTCAAACCTCCTGTCCTTCCTACCCCTGAAAAGAGCAATCTTCCCATGCCAATCTGAAGTTTCTCCCCACTTAAAGCCCACTGGTGGGTCTTCAACATCTACATTGCCTAGGAATGGTAGCAAAGCCCTGTGCATCCCATTCTGCCCAGAGCTTATCTTCCGGACCTCTGCATTGCTGACTTTGCTCCCTGGGGTGCCCTTCCCACCTGCCACCTAGCCTCCTCCACATCTTGCCATGGACCATGGACACCAAATCCTCCCCTAAGACTTCAGAGCAGTCTGCTACCCAATCCACCACTCCTGCACAGCAACACTTAGTATTTGGCTTTGCTGCATGTCATCTAAGACCACCACTAGTAGCCACTTAAGGAAAATTTCATACACTATTAAGAGAAAAAGGCAGGATTCAAAACTGAGCATTTAATATGATTTTGATTTTTCAAAAACACCATCCATTCATGTAAATATGCAAGAAAATGATTAATGATCTTTTTACTTATATGAGTCTTATTTATATATTTATATTTTCCATGTACTCTAAAATTCTTCCTATCAACGAAGTGTAACTTTTGTAAAAACTAAAAATATTTGTTTTGGGTTGGGTTGGGTTGGGTAGGCCCTGGGTTTGATCACTAGCACTGACCAAAAAAAAAAAAAAAATTGCTAGTGAGATGTGGTCATGTACAGCTATAATCCCAGCACTCTGGGAGGCTGAAGCAGAAGGATTACAAGTTTGAGGTAACCTAGTGTGACCCTGCCTCAGAAAATGCAGCACAAAACAAACAAACAAATTCACTCAGTACAAAGGTACAGTATCCCTGGGTTCTATCTCCAGTGTCACAAAGGGGGAAAAAAAGAAAAAAGACCAACAACCTGATTGTTCCATGCCACAGTTTCCTTCTGGGTAAACTGAGGGCAGTCAGAGTAACACCCACAGCTACTATAAGGATGAATGAGCTCATGGATGCATACTGCCTGAATACTGCAAACCCTCCGTAAAGGAGGGCCACTCTTGCTGAGCTCAGGACAGGCCGGCTTTGAGGGCTGCCTCCTCCCTGGGCTACATCATGGTGTCCCTGCCCTCCCCAGCCTTGGGGCAGCCTTCCCTGCCAAGCAAACCACCTCCTGAGCATGGAAACACTGTGGGTAAATACAGCCCTCTTGCCAGGGCACAATCCCCCCTCCCATACACACACAGCCTAAAGAGCAAACACAAGCAGCCAGCTTCCCTGAGCCGAGGAGGAGGAGGCTGAGTTCAAGGGGACAGGCCTCAGAACCAGCCCGCTGAGGGTCAGGCTGGAAAATATGGCACAGTGAGGAGATGAGCATTCCCAGCACTGCCTCTCACTCCTACATTTTGTCCAGAACCTTCCTTGCTCAGGTGTGTGTGTGTGTGGTGGAGAGGAACAGCAGACTCAGGCTGCAGGGACACAGGAGAGACTGAGAGATGCTGAAGCAGGTGACTCGGGCACAGTGACACAGAGACAGCTCGGCCTCCTGGCCCAGTGCAGGCTCTTCTTCACAACATTCTGTCCGCTGACCTGCACACACAAAACCCTGGCTCTCCCTGGGCAGGGGGATGCGGCTCCCACTCAGAAGTGTCTTAGTCTTCAGCCTGGCTCAGGCCAGGCCCCAGCTGACTTTACACCCTGCACCCTTCCCTCTGATCCAACCCCCCTGGGTGGTTAACAATGGTTTCCCAGTAGGTGACAAGCCAGAGATCCAGCTTTTCCCAGGTGAAAAAACCTAAACCCCAAAGCCCTATCAGCAGAACCCAGATGAAAGGAATAGCCATTAAGGGAGAGAGGAACCCCAGCTGAAAGAGGGCAAACTGCACAGAAGACAGGCAGAGGGAGAGGCCAGGGGGAGCCTCAGGCCTGGATTCTGTTTCTGGCGGGTGGTGAGAAGCACATGTAAAGAAAGTCAGACCTCATCCAATGGGCTGTGCTAGGACAGCACAGCAGGTCCACACCACACAGGCAAATGGGGCCAACTGAGGACTCGCTGGGGGCAGGAGATGGTAAAGATAAAGGAGTGACAGAGTCCTGGCTGGAATGTGGCTCAGCATGGCGGGAGATGCCAAGGTTAGAGGCAGGGCCTTTGGCTTGGGAACATAATCAGAACTCCACGCCTCAACCTCGTTCTAATAATCACAGGAGCTGTGTCACTTTGAGCTAGGACCGGCTCACCCACCCCGGCTGAGCCCAATAGGCCGCTACTCCCTGCCCGGCTACCTCCCCCGCTTGACCCCCTTATCCCTGGGCTCCTTCTGAATACCTGCTTGAGCAGCCCTGGAGTCAGAGCACTGAGGAAGCCTACAGCAGCAAGAGCCCGCAGCTCACAGACGTTGGCCTCTTTCTCCTAGTGACAACACAGCTATCTTGAGGACTGTGACATGAAACTTGGACTGTTCAAGAAAGAGAATTCAAGGTAAAGAGATGTGGACAGGATTGGAAACATGAGAAAAACATTTGGAGAGTAGTAAATGGTTTCACAAGCCGGATTTTGGGAAACAGCACTCAATTGTAAGAGTCCTTGTGCCTACTGATAAAAAGCTGGGGAACGCAGCGTCCTTGAAAGGGCTAGAACTCAAGGTGACTTATCAGGGCAGAGCACAGCCCTCCAGAGGAGCAGGTGCTGAGGAGAGGGAGCTGGCTCGCAGGGACCTGCTCCCTGTGAGCATCTCACCTGCTGCCCGCCAAGCCTGCTGAGCTCTTCAAGGTGTGTGTAGGGGAGGACGGGCACAGGAGTAGAGCCATGAGTCTGAAACAGTCTGCAGGCAAAGCCAGACGGAAAGACTGCCCTCGTTTTTGCCAAAACCTCTCATCTTATTCCAGGAAGTATAGTGCCATAACACAATGACTTGGGACTTTTTGTCCAGAGAAGGAACTTGCTGGAAGATCAACACCCTCTAATCACACAGCCAGGCCAGGTGAGCCTGTGGTCACCCTGTTCACCTCTCAAGCATCCGTCCCCACCCTCAGTCATCTAAATCACTGCAGGTCCTTTCTCTGCAGAGGTGCACAGCCCTTCTAGAAGGCCCCTAGTGACAGGCAGGGCGGGGCAGCTTAGAAGACACTCTTCTCAGCACTTTCCCGTACTAAGTCAGATCACCCTCAATCCCATTATACTGATAGGGGAAGTGAGGCAGAGATAGGCTAAACAATCAGCCTCTGTGCTTCAAATATAAAAGGCAAAGCTGGGATTCAAACCCCACAAGTCTGGCTCCAGAGCCTTCCCCCCGCATCAGCATGCTGCACCGCCCTGGAGGCAGACTAAGGTTCCTCTACTGTTTTCCTAGATTCTGTTCCTGGAAGTCTGGAATGGGTGGCATCTCGAAGTAAGAAGGATCCGCACTGCTAGGAGGATGATCAAGGAGGCTCCGAACTGTGTGTTAGGGCTCCCAGCATATCCCTCAGGCCCAGCTCTGGCAGTATCCACGCAAAAGTCCTCCAGGGTCAAAGCCAACCTTCACTGGACGATGGCGGCGCTGCTCCTCAGGGCCTCAATGGCTATTCAAAAACCCCTCACCAGGACACATCATCCACAGCCTCTTTTTCTGCCCTCTCAAACTGCTCTGTAAATATCAGATGGCCCCACTATGCTATGGCGATGCCAGCCAAGAGCAGGGCCTGCAAACAGGAAGCCCAGGGGAGCCATCTGCCCAGAGTGGCAGCAGCAGAGGGTCAGAAACAACTATTCCACACAGAGGACTGCGGCCAGTCCCAAGGGGCGGCACAAGCAGCTGAGGTGGGGAGTCCACAGGCTGGGAATCCTCTACATTGCCTGGAATACTCCTCTCACACCTTCATCTGGCTGCCTCTCCACTGTCATTCAGGTCTCAGCTCAGCTGTCACCCCCCCAAGACCTTTTCTGGCCCCCTCAATCCAAAATAGTCTCCCTGTCTTACCCACGTCACTTTATCTTATTTTCTTCATGACAATTTCAATTTCTAATAACATTTTGCCAACTGTTTATGGTCTTTCTCCCTCCAATTAGAATGAAAGCTCCAGGAAGGCTGGGGCTTTTTTAAAGCCACTTTCTGGGCAACCAGAGTTTAGAACAATGTCTGGTAACGACACCTAATAATATCTGTGGGACACAGGGATGGATAGACAGATGGATGCGCCCAGTGCCGAAGGCAGGTGTCATGATTTAGACTTAACATGTTCTCCCACATGCTCATGTGTTCAGAAGAAGGACTTTGGGAAGGCAACTGGATCACAAAGATTCTAATTTCACCCCTGGATTAGTCCACTGATGAGATTATAATTTGATGGCACAGGAGGGAGGTTATGGAAACAGGAGATGAGACCTTGTTGTGAAAGGAAGTAGGCCGTGGGAGTGTGACCTTGGGGATGACACCTGGTCCCGACCTCTTGCCTTCCAGAGCATCTCCATCTCCAGGAGATGAGAAGCTTTCTTCACTTCTCTTCCTCCATGATGTTTCTACCTTGGAATCAGCTGGCCGTGGACTAAAAGCTTCAATTATCATGAGCCAGGATAACTCTTTTCTCCTCTCAGCTGTTTTTCTCAAGCATTTGTCATAGTGATGACAAGCTGACTAACACAGTAGGTATGAGCAGCTAGCTGGCTCGGCCTTTCTCCTCCCCTCTTCCTGCAATATCTTTGTTTTTCCAATTACTAAAATAACATATGCTCACAGGTGAAGTGCAAACATTATAGAAAGAACTGATTTAGCAATCAAAAGCCTCCCCTAATTCCACACCTTAGGTAAAGTCACTATTAATGGAACAGTCTCTAGTTACCCAGATTCAACTGTTTTGAAAGAAGCCAACCCACATGCTGTAGAAAGGAAAAGCATTCTAATGACACCAAACTAACAGCATCACCATTTCTCTCTTCACGATCTTTCCCCTGATGTATTTTATGTTACTGTAATATAATAATGAGCCTGTGTACTCATTATTATAATGCCTAATATTCTACCAAGTGGAAAACTATCGTTCATTTAACCAAGACAATCAACGAAGGGAGCAGGTATTTCCTATTCTATGATTACAGCTTCTAGAGGCCACATGGCTGTAATATGTGGTTCCCACAGTGACAGAGCCTGAAAATAGGTAATGCCCCTTCCCATTCCGTAACTGTAGCTCTGCTGCACCCCTGGACAAGAGGCAGGCTCAGTACCACAGCCCCAGGCCCAAACCCATGAGGGTGGGATACAAGGCAGGTAGACTGGTGAGTCTCAGGGGCCTGAAACATACTCACGTATCACAGCTTTGAGTGTGTGGCTCAGAATAGACATCAGGATCCCTGTGCAGGAGTATCCCAGCTTAACCTCCGTCCTGGTGCCACACTGAGCCTCGGTACCATTCTCAGCAATGTGAGCAAGCATCAGCTCCAGGATTCAGCTGATCCTTGGCTGGTGGGTGGCGGTTTCCATGTGTCCCTGGGAATAAAAGAGGAGGCCTTCATTAGCTCGATCTACCCCCAGCTCTGGACCACCAAGCCAGCGGGAAAGGGGGACTCAAAGCTGGACCAGGCCATCAAGAGTCCCCTCCTGGAGCCTGCCATTTTCTCTGCCCTGCTCTGCTCTGATCACCTTAATCCAGGAAGGCCTGGGATGGTTACCAGAGTCCACAGCTTGGGTTAGGTCTTGGCACGTCTTGTACTCTGAGTGCACAAACACTTTCACCTTCACTCTACAGTTATGAAGGTCAGTTGAAAACCTCACAGAAGGCAGACAATGTTGGACATTTGTTTTAACATTTTGAGAGTTATGTACTACCCTTACAGAAAACCACACAAACATAAGGCATACCAAAGCCCTCTACTACAACCCACCACCCTAATCTTACTCTCATTTTATTTACCATTTTCATTATTGAGCCCTTCCTTTTACCACTGAAAACTGATATAAGTCTTTTTTTTTGTTTGTTTGTTTTTTGAGTTAGGATCTTGCTACATAGCCCAGGCAGGACTTGAACCTGTGGCAATCTTCCTACCTCAGCCTATGAAGTGCTAGGATTACAGGCATGCGCCACCATGCCTAGTTTAAATCTTACTATATGAAGCCCTTTCCTATGTACATGCCTTTGATCATCTCCCTGAGACTGGATGCATGTTTTGCTTAATATGAAGCTGTAGCAGCTTCCCCGGAAACTCCTGGGCATAGAGCTATTTGCACAGCCCCAGGACAGGGCTTCAGCCAGCACCATGGCTGCTCAGAAGCTGAGAACTGTGTGACTAGGATGGAAGGTGGCACCACCACTCCACGGTTGGACCATCACAAAGGACTGGACCACAGAGGTGCCAGCCTCAACCTTTCCCCCCTCTCCTACCTCCCCCAAGGAAATCTCCCTGTGGGCCCCTGTGAGGCAGCAGAGGACCTGAGAAGTGTAAGAGGGTAAATGGGGGACCTTAGATGCACCCTGTACAAATGGGCTTCTACGGAGGACTCCAGGTCTCCCCCAAAGCCTCTGCACAGAGAGAAGTAAAGAGCAGATGGTGTGAGGCTGCTGGGCTCAGCCTGGATTGTCCCTCTCAGCTCATCTACAAACAGGGACCCTCACCCCTTCCCAACTGTTGATCTTCCTCTCTCTCCTCTCCCGGCCAATTGATGGGGGGCAGTGATCACCCTGGAACATACCTGTCATCCGAAGAGCGTTAAGTGCCCATTCAACACCCTCCCGACACCAGCACTCCATGTCGTGTGGCCTGGGGAGTTCAATTTCCCCCATGGGCACTTCCCCTTCCCTTGGTCCTAGTCACACAGCAGCAACAGCACAAGTCAAAAGAGAAACAGAAACCAAAGACCACATCCTGCCAGAGAGTCTGCAGTCTGTAGTCAGCCCTGGAAGCTGTGTGCAGCCTGGCAAACAAGCTGCAGCGGTCAGAGCAGGTCCCTCCTGTAACTAGCCTCTGGCACCCCCTGCTTTCCAGGGCCCCTCAAGTCTCCCCCCACCCCTCCTGCTGGTGATGGTGGAGGAGAAGTGATGTGGCAGGCATAGGGATTCTTTCTGCAAGTGCACAAACTGCCCTCAGCTACCTCAGACATTTCCTGTCCCCCAAGACGACAGAAGCCCCTTGTAGACTACACAACTGGAGCTTATGATTGGAAAGAACCCCAAAGCAATTTGCACAGGCATGGAATTTAGGGTTTTTCAGATCTACCACCAGTACCTCATGATTTTCTGCACTCTCCTGGAGGGCATGCAGGGCAGAAGGAATCACCTCCATCCTAGAGACAGAAGCGCTAAGACTCACGAGATTTGGCCAGATCCACATATTTGATGCAAGTCCCCGGTCACCCCCAAACAGCATGCCTGCCACCTAAACCTCATCCTGAAGGCATATGTGTGAGCGGGATCCACTTATCTGGCAAATACAGAGCCCAAGTTTTCCACCCAGCTTCCATCAACACATCTGAGGGGCTCCTGGGGCTTGAAGGAGCAGGGACCCTGTGCAGTTTCCCACCCTGTCATCTCCTGCCCTTCCCTGCGGCCCGCTCACTTCCAACCCTTCCAGGCACTGCTTGCATCTCCCCTTCTTTGTGAGGCCACATGCACCTCTGGGTTACCCCTTCATAGTTGCGCTGGGACTGGGACTCCACTTTCTGACACATGTCTTACCTGAAAATTATTTCATGTGTGTCTGTTTCCCTCACCACATGGAAAATCCTGGAGACCACACTTTGTCTGTTGAACAAGCAATTTTGAGAAGTAGCCAGCTAACCTCTTGGGTGATGAAGTCATCAGTGTACTAACTAAGCCTAGCATGCAGTAGTTATAGTCTAGTTATAAATAGGTAGTTAATGCAGCCTAATGATAAAAAGATAAAAAGAGTTCAGCCAAGCAGCTAAATTAAATTTAGAAATGCAAAGGTAAACACAAGAAGGATAAAAGCCACAATAAAGAGAGAAATAAGGACTTTTCCTCCCAGGAAGAAGATATGCTAAATTAGTTGACAGTTCCTCCCTACCTCCTGAGGACCGGATTTCCATGGGACTTCAACCAGACTTCAGCCAGACTCAGAAAACATCAGAAATGCAGAATAACCAGTTTCCTTTGAACTCCGTTTCCTGTGAACCATTTAAATAACTAATTCCTTTTAAATCCTAAATCCACAAAGCCACCTGTTTAAAACAAATCCTATACATAAGACCAAAACAAAGAAAGTACAATGGACTTCTATTCAGAATATCCTCCAAGAGCTTTTTTTCCTTTTTCTTTCTAATAAACACTCCCCTAACTTTCCGCTTTTGCCCTTGAATTTGTTCTTCAATTTTGGGAGACAAAGCACTTGGGTTTATACAAAATTAACTGCGTCAGTAATATCGGTTATCTGTCTCTAATTTCTAGGAGAAGGACTCTCTTTCACTAAGCCCCACATGTGTGGGCCTACATGGTCAAGACAGAGGAAAGAGACCTTTCTCCCCCCCCCGAGCTCATCACACGCAGTGAGAGGTGAGGGAAAGAGCAGGTGGCTTGGGTCTGGATGCTACCAAAGACCCTGTTCAGATCACACAAGGAGGATGGGGCAGGGACATCATCCTGGGGGACACTGTAGCTCCTACACGGACAGAATGAGGCTGGGTCGGTTTGAGTCAGAGAATAATAATCCCTATGTTGTGACCTCTACATCAAGGGCACTCTCAAAAGGCACAGCCAGTGTTCACACAGCAAGTTTCACTTCCTCAAGAGGTTTAACCAGCGGCTGCTGCTAGAAAATTCCCCTGCATCATTTTCTTTCCTCTCTATCTGGGGTAAGCTGGGCTTGCAGGATTGAGTCTGCTTCTCTGACCAGAACCCAAATCCTCCCACCACCTGGAAGTAAAGGCTGGAGCCAGGAAGTGCGCAGGCAAACACCTTCTCCTTTCTTTCCCCCTCTCCCCAGCCTTAACCCTCCCCACGTTCCCCAGGAAAGGAAAAAACAAAATATTCTCACACTTAACACACAATTCTTCTTGACCAGATGTGTGGTATTTCCCTACACACCCCCAGCGGTTCTCCAGCAGACACCAACTGTGCATTCTGCAGTTCATTTTAACTCAGAGTCTTAGCTGCCTGGAAATAATGGCGGATCCTGAATTTGGAGGACTCAGGCTAACAAGACTGTCCCATTATAGATGCTAATCACAAGCACTTCTGGCTACAAACCAGAATTCACATTACCCTTTCCTGGGTCTGATTAATTTGCTAGGATGGCTCTCAGAACTCACAAACAAGTGTTTACTGCAGACATAGATAGGGCAAGATGTGGGCACGGGGTTGCTTACCACCACACTCAAAAGTAATCTGCATGTTTGGATCTGAGAGTTCATCAAATTTTGTTCAAGAATTTGTATAGAGCTTGATCTCCAGCCTCCTCACCTCTGACCTTTTAGTTGGCAGATGGGGCTGTAAGTTCCAAATTTGTAATCTCCTAATCACTTGGGCTTCTAGTGACTGGTCCTATCCTAAAGCTAACTAGGGGTCCCAGCCTAAGCATTTCATTAGCAAAGTCCTATTAAGGAGCCTCCTGATTATTCAAAGCCCCACCCCTACCCTAGTTCTCCCCACACTGACTGCTTTTACTTATCTGCTGGTATGTCCAGCCCAGAACAACTTCTCAAACCAAGGAGTAAACACACTCAGCTACAAATGCTGAGTGTTCTAAATCCGCACCCCACCAGGAGAAAGGCTGTGTCCAGCAGGGGCCCTGGGAAGCAGGGAGGCATAGTGGGGGGTGGTAGGGATGGCAGTTGGGGCCTCACTGCACTTGGCTCTGTCCTTTACCATGTCCTTGGACTGGGCTTGCACTCTGGATTTCCCAACCTGCCTGATATCTCACTTCTATCTGCCGTTTCACTTGGAGGCCACCCTGTCCTGTCACTCTGCTCTGCTCCCTTCTTCCTATCCAGTCCATTCCTCCTTCCATACCCCTTCTAATGACTCTCTCTCTCTCTGTGTCTCTCTGAAAGAACTCTGACTCCCACACCCCCGAGGGTGGTCTCTGCCCTTGCCTCCTTCCTCCCCTCCATCCCACTCCTTGGCTCTGCATCGCTCCTGCTTGCTGCCTGACTGAAAGGCTGGACAGCTGCTAGGCTCTCTAATTAGCCGCCTGGCTGCAGTCCCGGAGCCAGGCATGTGTTACTGTAAGAAGCTGCATGCCTCCCTCCATCAGTAATCCCCTAGGCAGAGCCCATCAGGTCGCAGCTGGGGGTCCTAGAATCCTCATCCCAGGAGACCAGCAAGCCTCCTCCAGCCAGCTGCAAAGTGTAAGGTACGTGGCTTCTCACCCCAGAGCCCCTTCGGTTTACCTCGGCACACCATGCCCTTAAGAGCAACAGGGATCCTGCCCTAGGTTGCCTCATTAGGGCAGGCAGGAAACCCAGAGGATCTTTTGGAGGTCAAGTCTGGATTGGCCCAAAATGTGACACCAGAGCTCTGCTTCTCAGCACCTTCTGCA